TCCCCTCACTGCTCCTGCCCTATCCTCTCCCAGCATCACCCTTTCCCCTCGTTGTCTCCTCTCGGCTCCCTGATATGTGTCTCTCCTGCACCCTGCCCCTTCCTGACCTTTTGCCTTCCTGACACCTGCACTCCTCAACCTCCTCTAGTCTCCTGGTGCTAGTGCGGGGCTGTGTGGTGTGTGGCTGCCCCATGTGCCTGGGCTGGAGCCAGGCCCATGGTGCTATTTTTGTACCCTGGCCCCAGCCCAACAGCAGCTGCACTGCAGCCCAGCTCCAGTCTCAGCACACGGGGCAGCTAAAGGGGTGGACCGGTCTTGGTGCACAAACTTCTGGCCAGGGAAACAAAAGGTTGCTCTGGAAGGCTGGGGCTTGCCAGCAGACCGCTCTCCTTGTCTGGGCTGGTGGATTCATGGAGCCTGGGGATCCATTCGGGGCACCAAGCAGGGTGCTGAAGATGGGGCTGAAAGACCAAGGCTGCTACCACTGAGCTGCCAACTCTAGTGAGGAGTTTGAGGGGGGTGGCTGGAAGAGGAGGGCAGAAAGCAGGGCGGAGACCAGGATGGTGGGGAGTATGGAGTGGGAGAAGAGAAGGGAAGGGAAGGGAAGGGAAGGGAAGGGAAGGGAAGGTGGGGCTGCAGGGAGGGGCCAAGAGACAGGCAGGGGCTGGGAGACAAGGGAAGGTGGGAGGAGGGTGGCACCAGTGCGCATGGAGAGGTAGCCCTGGAGTGCAGCGTAGGACTGGCCTTTGCTCCTTTCAGGGAAGAAAGAAACGAGGCTCGGTCGCTCGCTGAAGGCCAAACCCATCTACCAGCTTCCCGTGGGGCTGGGGGCTGAAGCAGTGGCCCCACCACTGTGCTGCTCTGCTGAGGAGATGGATGGGACTGAAATGTTTGGTGTGCGCCCCATGCAGGCATGCACCTTACAGGGAACCCTGGTGCAAAGCCCGAAGGGCCCCACGCCCCGACCATCCTCCTGTGCATGCAGGGTCCTCAGTCCCAGAGTCGCCTCCTCTCAGCACAGAGGGGCTCTGCACAGCCTAATCTACTGCTGGGAAAGGGGGGGGCGCCGGCTGCTGCTGCCCCAACCTGCTGCTGCGGCCTGCACTGGGGGTGAGGAGGGAGGGCTGAGTTTTTGCTTTCTTCGCCTCCCTGCCTGCCAGCTGGAGCTGTTGCTGCGGTTTCGCAGCTGTGCACTGACCACAAGGCTGCTGTGGCAGCATGGGCTGTCCACTGCCTGGGGGAGGAGGGAAGGCGGACTAGCAGCCTGCGGCCTGCACTTTGAGAACCACTTATCTAGACAGTGCTTGTGTAACCCATGCACCTAACAGGGAGCTATCTCTTTAAGAGAACCCTGTGCGGAAGGTAGGAGTGAGCTGAGTGTTACTGTTTCTGGGCAGATTTAGAGCTCCACACCCAGACACTTCTGGAGTTTGTGTGGTAGTTCGGGGTCCTAGGCCATGAGCAAGCAGGCAGGGCAGTTGCTTTTCTAAGGGCCTTGTGTCATTTGTTTAAGTTTTTCCTGTTACCTACTAACTCCGCTACCCCTCTGAAGCTGTGTTA